TCTTATTGCTATTGCTAAGGCTTCCAGAACAATATTGAATAAGAGAGGTGATAGTGGGCATCCTTGCCTAGTTCCTGTTCTTAAAGGGAATGCCTTTAACCTCTCTCCATTAAGAACAATGAGATTTTTTTTTAATCTAGAAGAAGGTAACAGTTTTAGTTTGCATGGCTTGACAATTAACACGCTTAGTACCAGCAGCCAAGAAATCAAAAGACAAATTGCACTGGGAAACTTTACAAGTACTGAAGAGCAATGATGTCAGGCTGGAGACTAAGTTGTGCCTAATCCAGGCCTTAGTCTTCACAATCACTTGCTATGCGTCAGAAAGGTGGACAATGACTAGGGATCATAGAAAGAGAATAGATGCCTGTGAGCTTTGATGCTGGGAAAGAGTATTAAATATACCATGGACTGACAGGAGAACAAACAGGTTCATCCTAGAGAGAGTGAAGCCAGGCTGCTCCTTGGAGGCAAAGATTCTGAAGCATCATCTGACATACTCTGAGCATGTTACAAGGTGTGACCAGTCCTTGGAGAGGGGCTTCATGCTTGGAAGGGTGAAGGGTCAATTCAAGAGAGGAAGACCCTCAATGAGATGGAGTCAGTGTCTGGAGTAATGAAGGTAGGTGTGTCAGAGACATTCAAGGTTGGCACAGGATAGAGCAGGTTTCAGGGCTGTTGTACGTAAGGTTGCTATGAGTGGAAAACAACTCGATGGCACATAATAACAACAAAAGTAGCAACGTCAGAGCAAACATGAATGGAGCTTAGTACTTAACTTCAGCTAGTGCTATAAGCAAGCTTTTTATAGGATCATCTTAAGCTTAGTATGGGACTGTTTTCCTTTTAAACTGTAGAAGTTCTTTTCCTCACTATTCTTGGCAGGAGATCGCCAGGAGCTGCCTGACTTACCTAGTGAGCCAGCTGGTCAATATGGAGCATTCGTTTCACCACATTCTCCTGCTGGAGATCAAGAGCATCACCGACACCTTCTCCTCCATCCTGGGTCCTCAGAGCAGAGACATCTTCCGCATGAGCAACAGCTTCCTCACCATCGCCCGACTTCTCACCCGCCAACTGGAAAACTCCCAGGCTGGACGCGGCAGGTGAGCAGGCGTCTCTGGGGGCCGGAGGGTCTGTTGTGAACGCACAGAAGCAGAGTACAGACTCTGCGCTTCCTGTGCAAGTGCGAAACTTCCCAAAGAAAGCCAGCCCACCACCTCACACTGAGGCTCCTGAGTAAGTTATGGCGCTAGCCGGAGCTTTTTCTCCTCTGTGGAAACCAGAACGTAAGAATGACAATAAAAATGAACAAAAAATTTTCAAGGAGCAAAATATAGCACAAATCATTTTTTTTTTACAAATCATGTTTTAGATCCCTCACTTATTCATTCATTCATTCATTCATTCATTCATTCATTCAATAAGCATTTCATGATTGTCTATGATGTACCAAGAACTCTTTTTTTTTTTTTAGGACTTTTTTTAACTGTAAAATTACTTTTTCAATTACTGTTAATGAAAGTTTACAGAGACTTATGGTTTCCAGTCATTCATGTTGGGCTTTTCTCCTTTCCCCCCACCCCCAATTCACCCTTCTTCTTGAAAAGCAAAAGAAAAACTCTTTCATTGTAACGTAATCCCTCTCCTGAAGTCCACTCCACTATGCAGCCTTCACTCTGGACTTCTGTAATGACAAGAATACCCATTCACACATCCCTTTTAAACAGTTATTTTCCCTCATCTGTTTCAATGCAATATACGTCATTCCTCCCCTCCGTTTTGGTTTTCCCTCCACTCTGATGTCAGTCCCGTTTTACAACAGTAGCCCTATGCAATACTTGTCCTTTTGTGACTGAGATCTTTCATTCAGCATAATGTCCTCCAGGGTCCATCCTGCAGAAGCCTACTGTCTGGTATAAGGGACAAACATTTAAATGCACTATTAGAGAACAATGGGTTGGGAGGCTAATCAAGGGGTAATCTAGGAGTTTGTAGGAGAGAACTGAGGTTGGTTGTTTCTGTTTGAAAACGGGAGAAGTCGGGGGGAAGATGGGTTTGGGGAAACCTTCATGTAGGAAATGGTACTTTGAATAACAAATTGTGAAAGAGAACCAGATTGCCCCAGGCTATCTTTGTAAAAGGATGGCACATTTGGGGGACAGAAATAATTTTGTACAATTAGGATGTATGTTACAAAGAAAGTAATATTAAGATTAACTAGTGAAATAGTTAACAATTTCAGCTTGTTTGGTTCTATGACCAACACTCTTAGCACCAACAATCAGCAAGTCAAAAGACAAATGGCATAAATCTACTCTCAGGGACCTCTCCAGAGTGCTGAAGAGCATCATTAACGTCTAGAGAAAAGATGCTCCTGATCCAGGCCATGATCTTTGCAATTACTTGCTATGCCCCAGAGAGCTGGACAATGGCTAAGGATGATAGAAGAATTGATGCCTTTGAGTTGTGCTGAGGAAGGGAATTGAGCATACCAAGAGAACATATAGGTCTGTCCTGGAGAAGGTAAAACCAGGTTGCACCTTGGAGGCAAGGACTTTGAAGTTCCATCTGATATACTTTGGGCACATGGCCAGGAGGGGTCTGTGCCTGGAGAAGGACATCATGCTTGGAAGGTGGAGGGGCAGAGCAGGAGAGGAAGACCCAGGATGAGATGGGCCAATGCAGTAACTGGAGTTATGGGGGCAGGTGTGTTGGAGACGGTGAGATTGGCTCAGGCTAGGTCAGGGTTCAGAGCTATTGTGCAAAGGATCTTTATGAGGCACATGTGATTCGGTGGCACGTGACAACAACAACAACAATGAAATAGTAGAGAACAGAGTCTTACGTAGTTTCTGTTTTCATTTCTCTGTGCTGCTGTAATGGAAATACAAGTGAATGGCTTTAATAAATTTCTTTCTTACATGTAGGATGCTAGGAGTTTAAGTTCAAGGCAATGGCTTTAGGAAAGAACTCCTTCTCTGCTCCAGGAGGGGAAAAAAATTTCTTTTCTCAACTTCTAGGGTCACTATGAGTTGTCTACCACATTGGCACTTAACAACAACAACTTTTGTAGTGTTCCTTGGTGAATCCCATGTGGCATCTCTACTTTGATTTTTGCTTGCTTTACTATGTGCATAATACTTTTAATGCTCATTACTAGGTTTAAGATGCACTCAGTGCTTGCTGTTTAAGCCTCATTATCATAACAAATAAACACTATTCCCAAATGGAGTAACAGCCACAGATGTAGGGGTTAGGATTACCACCCATAGTCTGGCAGAGACACAATTCAGTAAATAACATTGCTATAAGAAGTTTGAATTTCATGCACTATTCAATTAGTTGCTGTTTTGGGCTTTTATGCAAAGCAGGGGACAGATCAGATCCATTTCAGGAAGCACTCTCTGCCCACAGGGAAAAGATGGACAGGAGGTTGGGATACTCTTCCATTGAGGACCATGAGAACAAAGCTGAGAGGAGGAAGAAGAAGAGGACAGATTCAACAGGAAAGAATGACTATGACATACAATGAATGGGTGAAGACAGCCAAGATACAGGAAATAATCAGGAATGGTTCTCAGGATTCTGACTCAAGGACACAGCTGAGTGGTGCTGTCATAATGGTGAAGGAAGTTAAGAAGAGGTAGTTGATGGATGGATATCATACTAGTGAAGGAGGTAAAAGAGAAGTTTTTGAGGATTAGCAATTTGAGTGGGTTTATTGCCACATTTGAATTTTATTTGCAGAGCCCACGAACAAATGTTCAATAGGCTATTGGAAATGTGAAACTTAGATGGGCGATTTGGTCTCACAATGTAGATGTGCAAGCTTTGAAGGGAAGGAAGATGAAATAAATGCATAGAAAGAGAAGATAATTGACCCAAAGAGAGGACTCCAGAAGATGTTAACAAAGAGATCCTAGTGAAGGAGATTGTGGAAAATGGTCAGGAAGGAAAAAGAGAATTGATGGAGGATATTAAAGCCAAAGGGAGCTGTGGTGGCCTGGTGGTAAGAAACTGCCTTGCAGTCCCAAAGGCACGGGGTTTGAATCCACCAACTGCTCCACAGGCGAAGAATCAGCAATCTCCTCCTGGGCAACTAAAATGCCTCTGAAAACCTGCTGGAGGGTCAGTTCTGACTCGATGGTACACAACAACACAGCATTAAAGCAAGTGCCAATGGGCCAACCTATGTAGAAAGAAGTCAGGTGTTGCAGAGATCTAGAATGAAGAAAGAACAGAAAAGTGCCCAGTGGTTTGGGCTCTGAGGGAATGATTGTGACTGTGGTGAGTACGTTATCTGGCATTGGTATGAAACTGACTCTTCCAAGAAGTTTGGGGCGGGGGCAAAGTAACAAAAATAATGCAAGATTGGGAGAAAGACGTTATTTATTTTGCTATTATTTGAATTGAGAGAGACTTAAAAAGTCTTATGACCTTTAGAAATTACAAAGTACTAAGACATATATCTTCATATCAGCCTTAAGAGGTAGGAAGGACAGATATTCCTGTTTGACAGGTGAAGAAACAGAGGCTCATTATTTGTTTGTCTATTATTTCTTTATTGTTTGAAGGAGGCCTCATTCTATGTAGACATTCCTAAAGAGGAACCAGAGTTCCTCAACCATAGCAATATGATAGGGTAGACAACTCTTGGTGGTGGAAGCTCTTTTGTGTGGTCCAGGCTACTTCGCAGCATCTCTGCTCTCTCCCCAGTAGACGCCATTAGTACTACCACTCCTCCATAATTGTGACAATCAAAAATATCTCCCAGTGTCTTATGGGTGATAAGGTGGTACTTGGAGTAGAGTCACTGATATACACAGATATCACTAAAAAATAGCATGTCCACAGGTCCCTGACCTGTGCAGCAGTAGCCCAAACATGGCACCCTGAAAGAAATCAAGGAGACCTCTACTTTACATGCAAGCACAAAACCACTGTGGGCTGCATCTCATGATGGGTTAGCTTTAGGTCTTTGGTTAGGAGCCTCTGCAGCTTGTGTCCGAGGGCAGGAGTGGCTGTACTGTAATCTGTGCCACCTGCTTTCTCTTTTCTCTCAGTCTATGCTCGGAAGTGAAAGTTTAGGCTCATGTTGTGGTCAGTGGTCCATCCTCTCACCAGTTCTTCTGCAAATGCGAAGCTTCAAGAAATCAACTGACATCCATGAAGTTACATATGTGGAAGGTTTTTTAAGGTGGCAGGTGGGAAAGTTATGGAGAAATGACATATTTTAACAAATTCTGATCTTTAGTAACTAGACTCAATCTAATTAGATATAAATTATTCCGACAAAAAAAGAAATCTTTATGAGATATGTAGGTAGGTGAGCAACAAAGTCTCATTATCAAAATGAATCTGCATGTATGAAAAAGCATTTAAGTGTTTCCTCTATTTTTTTATGTTTTTCTGAAGAGAGAGAAATTAAATAGGTGAAAACAGAAAGGCCACCACTCTCTTGGCATGCCACCACCACTGCCATTACTACGTCAACGCTTCTCAATTCAAACTGCTTCTCCAGCTCAACCCTCACTGTCAATCTTCTTCTAATGGGTTATAATTATTCAGTGAGAACCTCACATCACTGATGGAGACAGCTAGCCTTGTGTACTAACTGCTCATCCTCTCTGGGGTGGTTGCTATGGCTCTTCTCCCAACATTTTCTTCCCTGAATAGCCTTCATTGTTACTATGAGCTATAGAGATTTTAATCTATGCCTGCTCCTCCCAAGGTCCCTCAAGCAGAAAGTTTTGCACTTTTGTCTAAAGCATAAAGCAAAGTCTGGTCCTTATAATCACAGGGGAAATGGATGTGTTAGGAGAGCTTGAAATAAATGAAAGATGATAAAATTCAAAACAGATGTCATCTAATTGACAAATCTGACACATAGCCCAGTAGGCCAGACTTGAGTCTTCAGGCCAAATCTACAAGATTATCGAAAGGAAAACAATTAGCATCCTAGAGAGAATGAAAAACTGACACAGACAGGATCCTTCCTAGTGCCAGCTGACTTTGAATAAACCGAGAGAGCTTTCTGTGATGCCCCAGGTAAGAACACTGCATTTCATCTGCTCCTCCATTTTTGGAAGAATGTTTCTATCTA